TGCAAACCTCACACACAGGCCCATGTGTGTCACAAGTGAAGGCCGAGACTCTCTCACACACACACACACACACACACACACACACACACACACACACACACACTGTACAGACAGAAAAACACGATGTCCTCCTCTGTGTTTCTCAGGTTTTATAGAACGTGTGTTTTCCTGTATGCCCCTCTAGACCCCGAAGGCTGCACGCGAGAATGTCACAGAGGATTCCCGCGTGTTCCTTCACACACACCTGCCAATCACAAAGCGGTGCCCTTCATGCACGTTAACCCCCCGTGTCATATGCAGATTCCTTTTGGGGGTTTTGTGAGGCAGTGAGATGAAGCGATCAGATAAGAGAAGCTTTCTGATTTATGGGAAGTTTTTGAGGAGGAAATGGGCGTCATAGTCCAGTGGCTGTAATAAATGAGCAGACCTCCATGCACCGCTCGCCACCAGAGAGACAAGCACAAGACACACACAGCAAAACATGTTTATGTCTTTTCTTTGTCTTTTCCTGTCTGCTTCTGCAACAAAATTGAAAGTGAGGGAGGGAAAGTGTGTGCGGGTGAGAGAAAATTGGCGAGAAAATCCCGCAGGGGTGAAGGGAGGAAGCGGAGAGCGAAGACGCAGGACAGACTGGCGAGTGGGAGGAGTGCTGAGCAGCGCCGCACGGGCCCTGGTTCAGGGGGGATTCCTGTAACCCACCCCGGCATCCAGCCTCCCTCCACAATGAAACCAGAGATACAAGAGCATTGTGAGTGTGTGTGTGTGTGTGTGTGTGTGTGTGTGTGTGTGTGTGTGTGTGTGTGTGTGTGTGTGCGCGTACGATTCCCCGCGGCCCATTTAGTCCTTAGTTAGAGTAGGCGCTTGAAAAGGGTGCCTTTTGCAGCGGGTGGTGCAGTTGCTCCTTGAGAAGCACAACTGTGTTGTTGTTTCATCCAAACTTGCCAAGAAGGTGACGGCACACAGCCTTCTCGCTCGCGCGCACACACACACACTCTCACACACACACACACACACACACACACACACACACACACACACACACACACACACACACACACACACACACACACACACACACACACACACACACACAGATCCCACTAATCCTATCAGAACCCCTGAAGAGGGAGCTGTTGTTTTGCTTGTGTCTTGAGAATAACAGTCTCTTCCACAGTGTTATGACCTGAATCACACTCGTCCAAATCAATAATGGGAATGCAGTTAAAACTTATATGACTGACAAGATCAGCAGATCCATCATTTCCAGTTCTCTTAAATGTATATTCAGCTTCTCAAAGGCCTTTTTTTGTCTCTGTACGTTCCATAAGAGCATTCAAACATGAATCCCTGTGGAGAATCCTCTTTTCAACACATGAACATGAATCTATGTTTGTTTCTGGCGTTTAAAGATTAACTAATTTGTCCTGTTCTGAAGAGCCGGCAGCAGAAAGTAACATCGCGTAATGTTCATCAGTAAACGGGCTCCTCACCTCGCTAGTTTTCTGTTGATGAGCGTGATAATGTTCCACTCAGGAGACCTCAGGGGGCAGATACCAGTGGATGGTTCATTGTAAGTAAGCCACGTAAGAATATTGATTAAAAACACAGGCACACACACACGGTGCAGCGACACACAAACACACCAAACTCATTTATCAGAATTCACTTATAGATCCATTAACCGCCCGGATACCTCCGCTCCGTCACACACATCGAGCCTTCCATCGCGCGTCTTCCTAACGCGCGCGCACACACACACACACACTCTCGTTGTGTGTTAATTACAGCCGTAATAAGCACTTTAACTTTGATAAGAGCACTAATGGCGAATGTGATTTGGGGAAATAGACGGAGCACCAAGTAATTATTGTCTTGTCGCGGTTGCCATGGCGATGATATCCACGGTCACACGATGGCCTCCCAAGGTGACCAGGAAGCGGCGTGCTACGGGTGACGGCGGCGGCTGTGTGCGCGGCCTTGTTGCTTGATTCATGTGGAGGCTGTGATGACATCATATCCAACAGGGGAACGGGTCATAAATTAGACATTAGCTAATGTCTCTTTGTTAAGCAACTTACTGTCCTCTCACACGGGAACCCAATGTCTCCATTCTGCCTGTAAAGTTAATACGCCTTTAATGGCTTTCACATTCGAGGGCGCGTCGTTGGGTGGGGACACGTCTCCGTCAACGCTCTGCCGCTGCTCATTTGTCCCCAGCAATCATTCTGATCCAAAGAAGTGCTCTATTCCAGCCGCCGCTCCGAAGAAGCAGAGAGTCTGTCCATAACCTGAACCCAACTGCGAAGGTATATAAGGACAGACAACGGTAATTGATGCTCCTTTGGTCGCGGGTCTGGACGCCGTATTTGGTGAACATGGCACACAAGCAAAACGTTCCCCCAAACCCGGCTGCTGTTTGAAGAGGAACTTTGGAAATTCCCTCCCGCTCCGTTAGCTCCTTTAACGTGTAGCTGCTGACACACGCCTTCAGCCGCCTGGAAAAACACACACACACACACACACACACACAGCGCCACAGAGAAGCAAGACTTCAAGAGATCAGACTTCAGTGCAGTGACAACACTGTTGCTTCACCTGTAAAAAATGCGGATAAACCACTTTGTATGAAATGTGTCTCCTCCTCAGCACACAGACACTCTCCACTGTTTTATTTTGACACTTATCAGGACTTTGGTACGGCATGCAGCTGTCTAAGCAACTCATCACTGTTCAAAACAATCATGTTTACTCAGAAAATGATGATTTGGGAAAGAAAAAAAAAGTTGCAGTTGCAAAGCTGTGGACACAGTGACGTCATTTCCTTACGCGGATGACAGGAGAGTTTGATTATTTTTGTTTCGTCTTTATTTTACGCAGCAAAGCGTTAAATATACAAATAGTAAATTCTGTCACGGTATCAAACGATCGGCTCTTCTGTGTTGCACCTGCTGCATTAATGATGTCAATTAAACGGGACAAACAAGGAGCGTCAATCTAACGTAATGCTTTTCAATATATTTTAGATTTCTTTAGTTCCTGCACAATGAACATAAATCTGTAATTAAATTATGAATATTCCAATAAACTAACATATATATACTTCGATTAACACTGATCATATTGTAAACACTTATTACTAAAACACTTATGCATATTATTCTAATTTACTGTAGTTTGAAGCCATGTGTTTTTTCTTTCTTTGTATTTACAGAATCGTTTAACAGTTAATATATTGTTCAATTTGAAGAAAAATGTTTCTTTAATTTCATCAATTGTTTTGGGTTTTTTTATTTAAAGAAGCATCGGTTTAGGCTCCGTTACCGGAAAAAACCCAAACGATACTCATCCCTACCATTAATGCTTAATGCAGGATGTGTTTTTAAATAAATACAATGATGTAACCTTATAAAGACAGAAATATCTCCTTTTTATTCTTCATTTAGTCACTCCTTTACATTGTGCACCCACATCTGTCGTCTTTGAGTCCTCTTTAAACAGAAGTCAACTCCAGCACATCTGTTTTTAGGCTGACGCGTGTGGATTTCGGGGCTTTCTTTTCCTCTAGATTTGCTAAAGCTCGGTCAACTCGGACGGGGAGCATCTGTGCCTCAAAGCCCTTCTAAAAATAAACGCGGGAAGTCACGTCTGGGCCCGGACGGGTGCCGCTCAACGCGTCCAACGCCGATGTTTCCGTTCAGCCGCTACAGTTCGCTCTGTGGCCTCGCTAAACTACGACATGAACGACCTCTTGTGACATCATGTGGTCCTTGTCTTTGTGGTGACTTTCCCCTTATTGTTGTTTTTTTTTTTTTTATTCACGTTTGAGCTGAAATCGGGAAGACGACACCTCGAAGGATCCAGTGCCGCACCTTTTAATTCCAGAAGGCGTTTCAATGCTTTATTTCGGCAACATTATTTTTTCTGTACACATTCATGGGAAACAATCATTGGACGTTGCATTATTTAGTTGTTGTTTTTCCCAGTTCAGTAGCGGGGGATTGAAGTGCCCTCGTACTCATTGTTCCCGCTCGGTTCTGCTTCTGCACAAGCAAGCTGCTTTTGTGTGAAAATGTCAAAATTGTAGTGAAAATGTTTTTGTAGCCGGCGAATGAGTCTTTGTCTGTAATTTAAATCAGGAAAAACGCATCGGTTTGCGTCTTCTCATTGACTTCTTTGTTGGTCCTTCGAGGTGGAGTCAGGAATGACACTTTCTGCGAGTGTTTACGAGCTTAATGATCAGTTTGTTGTTTGAATCTTCTTAAGAGGGGTAAAAGATGCCGTCGTATTTCACTTTACTTGTTGCTGGATTAATACCAATTAAGATGAACCGGAGCCATTTGATCTCAGCGGCTGTGAAACCTCGATGGCTGATGGCGCCGCGGTGGATTTCCTCATTGTAATGGAATTGACTTTGATTCCACACAACATCCAAGTCCCTCGTGCTCAGGAACAAAACGCACACTCTAACACACACACACACACACACACACGTTGCGTCTTGTGTAATTAGTGCGTTTGCCACACTCCCATTAGACGAGACAACGTTTGTGTTTGTCTGTTATTTGCATCGGCTCGTGTGTGTCTGTGTGTGCGCCGGGCTTGTGTTGATAACGATCTAAGGGGATTGAATTTTTTTTTTACTGCAGCCTTTAAGCTGTTGGCTGTTGATTTTTCTAATAATATAAGGATGAGAGTGATTGCATCAGTCGCCCACAGAGGAGATATAGATATACAACTTCAATTTAATCAGAAGCTCATTTTGTCAAAGCCGAGTCAGTTTGAGTCCAGAGGGCTCGTTTTTTAGTTTGAAAACTTTTGAAGTTAAATAAAGAAGACGCACACTCCGCTCATGCCCAACTGCAGACATTCCGTATGTGAGGGTGTGTGTGTTTACGCTGTGTGTATTGTGGCCGGTTAAACACAGTGGAGCTTTTTCCAGTGATGATAAAACGAGATGAGTATTGCTCAGCATAAGGCTTCCTTTTTTTCTGTTTCCACAGGCGGTCGGAGGAAGAAGTGGACATGGACAAAGTGACGGCTGCCATGGTGCTGACTAGTCTCTCCACCAGCCCGCTGGTCAGGAGCCCCCCGGTCAGAGTCAACGGTGAGTGCCACTGCTAATAAACTACTAAGTAAGTGGGGGCAGCAGCGTGCTTTAAATCCGTATGTTCTGCTTGGACACCGACTTTTCATTCCTTCACAGCTGTGAAATGCGTGTAAAGGCCTAGTCTGATGAATGACCGCCACCTGCTGTGCTCGAGGATTCGCTCCTCAATGAGTTTGTGCAAATCCACAGAGGAGCACAATGAGCGCGGTGGCGGACGTCCAAAGTGCCCCGTTACCGCGGTGACAAGCGGCCGACCACCGGCGTCGTCTGCAGCCGAGCGGCGGCGCAGGCAAACCCTCCAGGGTCCACCGCGCACGTGTTGTCACGGTTACTGTGGTCACATGTGTGAAATGCACGTCGCGTGCGTCACGCTCACATGCACAAAATGTAAATACCAACCATCTCTAATCACACGCATGTTCTCATGCGTACCGCGACGTGGTTGACATTTCAATCTCATTGTCGGCCATTTAATTGTTGTTTTGCGCGCGTTCTAACTGTCGTTGAGTTATGTTATTCAAAATAAAATGTAATGCGGGTGTTATTATCGCTCGAGTCAATCTTAATGGGCTGTGCGCCACAGAACCGAATGCCTATCAGAGAGGCTTTGTTTTTGCCCGGGAGCCATTTCCTCTTTTGTGTGAAATTTAAAGTACAGAAAGAAGCCCACACATACTTTTTCACTTGTGCACACTCTCTAAAGTTTCCCCCGGCCTCAACCGTCACAAAGTGAAACGTCTTTTGTAGCTGATTTTGAAAAGAAAAGTTCCTTTGATCTGCAGAAAGCAAGACCTTGGAAGCGTCTCAGTGGAGAAACAGAACGAGAAAGTAGCCTTTTCTTTTTTCATTGTGACTCAGACAACAGGGATGCTGGGAGGCTCATTCTGTGTGAAGTGCAAATGAAGCTGTTTGAAATCCATTCAATGTCTTGATCTCCCACCATCGACGGACGAACACCGGGCTGCGGTTGGATCATCTACAAACGTGACTGAATGTTTTGTGATCTTCCTGTTCCTCACCTCTCCGTCCGTCCCCCCTCAGAAGGCCTGAGCGGCTCGTGGAAGGACAGCGGCTCGGCGTGCCCCTTCACGCCGTCCAGCAACAGCTCCTCGGGCGGCTACTGGAGCTGGTCCGCGCCCAGCGACCACTCCAACCCTTCCACGCCTTCTCCGCCGCTCTCCGCCGACAGCTTCAAACCCTTCCGCGTGCCCAGCATGGGCGGCGTGGGACCCGGCCCCGCGGGGCCAGAGGACCCCAGCCTGGACGAGCAGGACGGCAGCAGCCTGCTCTTCGATGAGCCCATCCCCCGCAAGCGCAAGGTGATTACGGTACACGGCGCCTCAGCCAGCGGGAGAACACGCGTTGGTGAATTAGCAGTTGAAGGTTGTTTTTTCTCTACTTGTGAAAACCAAAGCTGGTTAGAACAAAACAAGAATAAGTCATTTATTACTAATGTTAGAAAATGACCTCAAACAGCGTTTCTACTTCTTTTAAAACGAAAACAACCTACTGGAAGTACTGGAAGGTCTAAATGGTCACCAAGCAGACAAAGTCAGAGAAAATCAATGCATAGTGGACAGTGTCCATTGTGTTTCCCCAACCATTGTACCAGAGGGGGGAGGGGGGGGGGGGGCACACACTCTCCAGCATTGGAAAGTGTGTGACCTGGGAGCTTTTATTTCCCGGAATCCACATTGACCTTAAGTGGCCTCTTTGAAACACTCGTGACAGCAGTGTCACAATTTTCTCTTATTTCAATGTGGAGCCACAAATTAAAAGGGCTCCAGGGAGGACGGCAGCAGCTCTCCTGACAACGGGAAGATCTCAATAAGAAGCGGCACGCGAGCTGCTTGATCCTTCCGCACACTGTGACATTTGACCTCTGAGGTCCCGGCTGCAGCTGAGACTCTGACTGACTGGCAGAGGTGGAAATGTGACAGGAAAGGACACGCAGGCGTGTTCGGCTCGGTGGTCGTCTTGTCCGTTCTGCACACACGTTATGAGCACACAACACACACACGCACACAGACACACACACACAGACACAGTTTCCCACTCATCATTCTGCCTCTTCTCATTTCTACACCCCGCTGACAGCTCATCACATCCACAGCACCGTGTCATTCATTATTTCTCAAGATGTATGTTGCTTTTCACTCGCCCTTTAAGTCTCTCTCTCTCTCTCTCTCTCTCTCTCCTTATCGGCGCTCTGACTCGTTCTGTGTGTATATATATATATATATATATATATATATATATATATATATATATATATATATACACAATAATGGACATTCACCCTCCACAATTACATTCTTCCCATGCAGCTGCTCCAGAAAGGCAGTAGTGATATTAATACCCGCTGCAGTAAACATAAAGATCCAAACGGCCTCACATCTCCCCCAAAAATCGATACGGGCTCTTAGGAGAGTTCCACAACCTTACTGTAGTAATGGGGTACTTATGACAAAGAAGGGCAACAAGAGGGAGAGAGACATTTAGAAGGTGGAAAGGGACAATGGAGTGTGTCAGGAGACAAAAACTGTGATTCTAATAAGCTTGGATAACAATGGCGTTGACTTCCAATAAACACGCGCGCGCTAAATGTACGATGTCAAGGTCTCACATGGATTTATCCTCACGCTCCTCTTGTGCTTTCGCTCCTCTCTCGGCAAGAGCTCACCGTTTAATTAACTGTGAGACTCGTTTTTGAAAGGGAATAACACGCACGCACACACACACACACACACACACACACACACACACACGCACACACACAGAACAGGCTTTTATTAACCAACAAGACAAAACAATGCACAGAGGTGACGGATAATGTGTGTGTGTGTGTGTGTGCATGATTTTCTGAAAAGAGGAGGAAAAAGAAGTGTGGGGGGGGGGCGGCATCTCGTTGAAATGAAATCAGCCCTCAGAAAAATAGTTTGACACACTACTGTGTGATGGCTGAGAGCAGGCAGGCAGGACGAAAACAACAAAGCAGGCAGGGCTTCTCGCGCCATGAAAGGCCGAGTGCAGCCTCTCTACGAGGCCCGAGGAGTAATTACAGTAGACGGATAAAGGGGTCGGGAGCCTCATCAGCTCACGACCACGGAAACATTCACCGCTGAAGACCCTGTTACAGTAAAGCTGTACGCTCGCACTGTAACGGGCACGAAGGGCATTTAGCGGGAAGTCGTTTCGTTTCTTTGTCGGCAGTATGCGGTGATGTTAGACAACCTGACGGTGTGACAAACCCCATCCTCATTTTTCAATAACAACCACTAAAACAAAGCATCCTCACTTCAACGCACACTCTGCCACCCGTTGCTTTTCCTACAACCGCACATCTCCGTCAACGCGGAACCATCTGTGAGCAGCGCGTCGTCTGACTGGTCGCCGTACTTTGTGTCTCGCGCAGAACTCCATGAAGGTGATGTTCAAGTGCCTGTGGAAGAACTGTGGCAAGGTGCTGAGTACCGCAGCCGGCATCCAGAGACACATCCGCACCATCCACCTGGGGTGAGACTCCATCACACACGCAGCCGTAGATTAATGTGATTAACTGCAGACGACGGTGTTTAGCGGGATGTAGGAATGACTTCATTGCTAAAAGGGGGAACAGGAGCCGTGTGTACCGGCGCTGTAACATTTAGCAGACGGACATTTGTCTTTACGTCCCTCTTCACCGTCCTGCAGGCGGAGCTGCGACTCGGACTGCAGCGACGGCGAGGAGGACTTCTACTACTCGGAGATCAAGCTCAACACGGACTCTGTGGCCGACGGGCTGAGCAGCCTGTCCCACGCGTCCCCGACCGTCCACTCTCCCCCGCCGCCTCCCGCCTCCCCTCACCCGCTCCTCAGCCAGCTGTCGGAGTGCCACGGGGCCCCGGGGTCCTCCGACGCCAAGGAGCCGCACGCCGGCGGCGCCACCCCGCTCAGCCGCTCTGCGCCCAGCGCGCTCTACCTCATCCACACGGACCACGCCTACCAGGTGAGGGAGGGAACAGGGAGGAAACAGGGAGGTCCATCATTTAAGTTCTTAGTTCTTCATTTAATTGAGGAGCTTTTACAATGTGAGACCTGAAGGCCTTTTACGCCCCTTTAGTTTGAGGCTCGCTTGCATTTTCTGAGTTGACTGACTGCGTTTCAGGGAGACTAATTTGACCTTTGCCCTCAGGCCACGGCTCCAGTGTCCATCCCGTCCAGCAGTAACTCGACCGGCTCCGCCTCCACCAGCTTCACCCCCACCAACAGCTCCAGCTTCAGCATCTCCTGGCAGTCACCGCCCGTCACCTTCACCGGCACCGCGGTGAGGACGCCCTGAGGCCGGGCGTTGGTTCTATACTACGCGCACGTATCTACGCGTGGGTTCCTCTAATCATTCGTTTGTCTGCCGTCCTAAGGTGTCCCCCAGTAAAAGCCAAGGCTTTGGCGATCAGCGCTCCCAGACCATCGGCGTCCTCTCGTCCCCCCCCAGAGCCACCGCTGCGCTCAGGTACCGGCTCCTCGCTGCGCGCTCAGCCGACGCTTCCTTTTCTTTAGGACTTATTGCACATATTTGATATTCCCACGAGACAACTTGTATTCAAGCCAATGCGCCTAATTCGTTTTTCTACTTCCAATTAAACCTGACGAGGTGCGAAATATTGACTCTAATTAAAGTAAAGTCACAATAAATCGGCTCAGTTGAGCTGTTGATTTACCCAATCAACTTCCACGAGGAACCGAGCGCTTGGTTTTTAGATGGTATTGTTTGTGGTGATTCCTATTTACCATGCAATTAGAAAACACTTTTGTCTACTTAGCGGAATCGTTTCGTCGTTTGCTTTCTTTAGTCAGATACCTGGAGATCGAACCTGCGCCGGTTTCTGCTGCATCAATGCTGGAGTTTGTGATATCGTTAAAGCTGATAATATCGTACAGTCCCATCAGTTTTTCTTCATTCGCCCACAGCAGGAAGGTGCGCGGGGAGGGGAAGAAGTGCCGTAAGGTGTACGGGATGGAGAACCGCGACATGTGGTGCACCGCCTGCCGCTGGAAAAAGGCCTGCCAGAGATTTACCGACTGAAACGCCGCACGCACCGACCGACCGACGGCCACTGCTGCCATTCGCCAGATAAGAGGGGAGGGGCTTCCTTTCGCATGCATTTAGTTTTTGTTTTTTTTGTAAAGGTCACAACTGTCCGTCAACTCCTGGCTCCGCCCGTTCCCCCTCAGCTTCCCAGCCCCGCCTCGCCATTTACACCCTGCCCAGTTTGGGGAAACCCCAATGCAGCTAAAAACATTTGAAGAAATTGATCTTCGGTTTGTCCTGTTTTTTTTTTGTGTAAAGCTCAGATTTTTTAAATGAAAGTCTAGTGGACGAAAGGGTCTCCTGAAAAAAGGCCTTTTTTTGTCTGTTTTGTCAACAAACTCTTTTACCCTGACGAAGAATGGGCCTCTTCGTTGCAGCTTTTTCACCTTACGAAAAGGAAAAGCGCTCATTTTTTGTTTCTTCCTTCAACTTGTCTCCGTTTTGTTCCTGGACGTTTTTGAGGACATCTTTCATCTCCGACATCACGTCCTCGCCCGCTTCCCTCCCTGGTTCTTCACTCCTGACAGCTCTCTGAGGGAATGTACGGCAGGTCGTACGCAGAAAGTGAAGAATGGAGACACACACTCGATGGATGATCGACGCAAAAAAGAGAGTCAGGGAGCAGATGGACCACATCCACACACATACAGCAAAGCATACATACAGAATACGCAGGTATTCCCACCCAATCAAAGCAGAAGACTTGAGTTGATTCATTTTCTTTTATCTTTTATCAGGTATGTGAATCTAAAGAGAGCAAAAACCAGCAGCTAAAACCTGGAGTTGTATGATTACAGCACCGTCTAAAAAAGCTTCTCTCTTTCAACTCTGCAACCAAAAACTGGATCTTATTCTTTATGCTTTTCTTTTTTTTTTACTACAGTAAAGGTGTTTACAATGTTTACCGTTGCTGGTGTGTTTTGGGTTTTGGGTCCTTTTTTGTGTGAACCGAGACCGTTTACCCACCACGTGCTGAACAAAGACCTTCCTGAGAGCGCCGGAAGCACGAAGTCAGCAGAAAGATAAACACCTTTCACCACACGCAGAGCGTTGCCCCCTGACCCCCCCCCCCTCCCCTCCTGCTCAACACTCACGCCGTCCCAAAGGGAACCGCGTATGCTCGTGTTTGTGCAGGAGCACCTCGACGTGTGTGTGTGTGTGTGTGTGTGTGCGTGTGTGTGTAACGAAGCACTTGGTTACTTCTATTTAGTCTAATCGTTTGCACGAGTCCTTCTCGTATTAAAACAAATGGGGGGGAGGGGGGCTAAATGAGTTAAAAGCACTTGATTAGGTCGTTGCTTTGTAGTTTAAGGTGCACTGCAGATGTTACTCACTTGTAAGCGTTGACTAAAGCTCACACGAGTCCTTCCTGATCCTCACATCCAACTTGTCATTTGAATGCGTTTCAGAGAACAAACATCTCATGGCCAAATAGTTTACAGTTTACAGGTGTTCACTCGGTGGATAAATGGAACTCCTCTTTCTTCCACTTAAATTAGATTGTTCTTATATTGCTAGAAATGTTCTACAATTCTTTTTTTTATCTACAAACCGCCATTTTTTGATTCTGTTTCTGCATTTAATCAGCATTATATGATGCTTTCTTCACCACACGCTGAAATCATTATTGGCAATTGTGTCTGACGCACAGGATCATTTTACCCCAGAATTATTCACCGCCTGCACAAGTCCTTTTAATACACACAGTCCTTTTTAATCAACACCTGATGGGACAGTCGTGGCCATGTCACTTTTCTGTTTGTTTTTTTCTCCGTTCATGTATACATGTAATTGTATTTTCTCAAAGCTGTGTGCAAAGGACCACTTACCTCGGCCGTTACATTTCCAACCTCACGAACCAGAGCAGTTCAAGTTCGACTCTGCGGCAGGAAATAACCTGCGATTCAACATGTCGGGCTTCAGTTTGGAATATAGGTTTAGCCTTAAAGTCGCTCTCGAAAGAAATCATCCTGCTTCAACGTAAATGTCTTAACATTGTTGTTTCACGGAGAAATATTTAGTATCTACAAACTGATTTGTGTTACGTGGACGTACTATTGTTTAAGAAAAGACAAATCTATATATATATATATATATAGGTAAAGAAAAACATGTTGGAATTTAAATTCAAAGAAAAAAGATTTGATTTGGCTCTTTTTTTTTTTAAACACATGTATGTATGTATATATATGAATATATACGTATACTCTTTATGAATTTTTGTTTTCATGTTCTGCTGAATGTTTTCATTTTGCTTGTAGCTAACCGTGGGGGGTGACTTGACTCACTGGAAGCCACGTTGTTCTCCTTCCAGCCCTTGTGACACTCTTGCTCCCGCCTGGAGCTCCTTCATGCCCCCCCCCCCCCCTAATTGGCCCGTGGCGTTCCCCTGTCAGCCTCCTGACAAGCCAACGCGTTGGGGCGACTTCCTAGCGCCCTTCCTACGTCACGCTGGTGCTTCGTGTTTGTGACGGGAACCTCCATCTCCTCCATACGGCAGCCGGTTACATCGCGTCCCGGCTGCAGTTCAGCTCAGAGGTTCTGGCAGGACTGAATACAGAGTGTGGCAGCATCTCCAGGCAGCTAATTTAAGAAGACGCTCCGACGCTGACTCTTGGTCCACCATATGGCTGGTGATAAGACTCAGCCAAAATAAGCTCACTCATGTATTATTCCAAACCCTCCAAAGGAGATCTGCTGCCACATTTCTCAAACCCGTCCAGGAGCTGTGGGCCTTGTTGTGTGGGCGCTGGGCTGCATCGCGATGCTGACAACATCTCGTCCCAGGTCCGTCCCAGGTCCGTCCCAGGTCCGCCCCGGCCTCGGGTAGAAATGCCGGTGCTTTGTTCCCGTACAGTTCCGTTTCTCACATGTTGTCATCTGATCATATTAACCTCCATTTTGTACACAATGTTATGCTGTAGAACATGAAAATAAAAAACACCCTGGCTCAAGACTACCCGCTGTCCCGACACGAGTTAGTGAGTTAGTGAGGGCGTCGGCCCGAGCGCCCGTTCCCTCTCTCTCCTGCCTCTGCCTCAGTTCTGAGGTTTGTTTCGTTTGTTCTCGGTGCCGTCTCCTTATTTGCTGCTCTTTGTCCTAAAGGTTGGATCAAATGCATCGATTTTCTTACAAAAACATTCGTACTGAGCAAACTGTTTCATCTGGAACGGTTTTACATGTTCACGTGTAATCGGTAGATCGAGACAACTCAAGATGTTCAAACTTTTGTTTCTTACAAACTCAATCTGCAGATGTGATGCAGTCGAACGCTCCGAAAGAGGAGTTTATGCAGATTGTTTCATCAGAGGACACCTCATTAGTTTTCACATGTTTTAAGCGTGTTTAACATGCAAACCAACTGAAAGCGACTCAAACTCCTCCGTGGTTTAAATCCCGCTCAGTGATGCAGAAATGGGTATTTCAACATTCCAGATCATTAGCAATTTAAAATTTCACATAACATGTGTTGAGATGTTTAGGATGTTGGATCATTTAATTCTGTTGAAGGAAAAAAAAAAAGGGGGGGGGGGCCTGGCTTTCCCATTCTCTCCATCATTCCCGAATGATGCCAAACAGGCCATATGGCCAAAACGAGCTCTCGGCCCTGCGACCCGGGGGAAGGAGGCCAAGACAGACACGTGTTCGCACAGCAGAATTAAAAACCCACCGTCGGGCCGCCGCCGCCGGCGGTCTTGAGTGACGTGAATACTTGAGAGGTCTGCTCGGGCTTTTGTTCTACCGATGTGTTCAAGGCCTGAGCTCTCAGCCGTGATTTAGAAAGTGAACAAAACAAGACTGTTGTTCTGTGAGTTACGACGGCGCCTCAATATACCGTATACACAACCTCACACACGCACACACACACATAACCGCTCACGTTATTGTCCAGTGCACTCCAGTATTGTCTGTTGACAGATTTATTCTTATTCTTGGTTTATGTACCGGATCCTTACTGAGATCAATATTAAATACGTGACAAGACTTGTTTGTGACGAGAGGCTCTCACTTATTACACCTTATAAAGGTCCTTACATGGTACAATACACACAGATTAAGCTGCAGTACAGTACATTTAAGCATTAGCAGCGTATAACTTTTAAATAATAAAATAAAACTCATTTCTATTTTCTATTTTTTTCTATTTGCGCCGTCAGCCTCGGACGTTCTGCCTCAGCTCGGTGGTCGCAGATTAACTTGCCACCCGATTCTTGTGAGCAGATGCCAGCGGGGGCTGTAATCGGCCCCCACACGGACCCCCCCCCCCCTGTGTGCAGGAATACTTCTGACCACTTAACAGTGGTGCGACAGCAGGTGGCCCTCAGTGGAGTCAGTGACTGCAAATATGATTCCATATTATTTTACATTGTGCTCGGAAGAGGACATGGACTGTGAGCAAAGTGGAGGACACCCGAGTAGTCGAACGTGACCTCGCGTGACCCCTAAGAATGGATCAAGTAGCAGTGTGTCTTTAAAGTGTACCCATCCCACCGAGCCAAGTTGCCGTGGCAACCACCCTGCATCCTTCATTCCTTCATTAAGGAGAGGAGCAGGACGGTGGATGAAATGGATTCTGCAAACACTCTAAAGGCAGATGGGTTTTTTGGGGGAGGGGATGGATTCGCCCGCCCCCTTCCCCCCCGGTTGGGGTAATCTTTGTGGGACAAAAAGGAGTCCTGAATGTGCCTTGATGAGCGAGGAGCTCCCACGGTGGACCTCAGTTGCCGCGTTGTGTCTAGAACCTCTGAGCGGAGGAATGTCTCTGGCGCCGGCCGGTATGAGCTCCGCTTTCTGCACCTACAACTCAAAGATTTGTGATACAAAGAAACGTCCCGCGAGCTGCGTTCAGAGGCCCCTTTTGGCTGCGCTTCTAGAAAGTCTAAGAGTGACTTTTCTACTCTTTGCTGTAACTTGTAAACGATTTCGATGTGTGTATGTTTCTTTTTTTTTTCACCTCCTCTGCTCTCCCTTTTGTTCGAGGGCTTGTAGATAAATGAGAATCTCACCACTCCTGTGATGTGATTATTCAGAACACTAAGTTTTAAGAGCACTTCAGCTACAGCTCCTTCACTTTGAACTTGATTATGCAACGCAGAGACCCGCCCTCTCTGTAAACCGGACCATCCCATTGGCTGTTTTACCGAATTACAATCACAGAGACCTCAAGAACTGGACCACTGTCCTACTGGAATTTTAGTGTGTATACTAATGTGCTCTGTCTAACTGGGTTTTAATACTGCATGTGCATGCAAACAAGGAAACTCTGAGATAAATGTGATCTATTTGTGCCTCTGTATTATTCTCAAGTCTCAAGTTTTCAATTACGTACAAATTTTTCAAAAGCACCTGTGATTCCCTGCCGGCGTTTGATATGTGTGTTTCCAGCCTGTAAACTGAATCGTAGATCTCACGGAGAAGTTTGACATTTGGGTAAATATGCTGATTAGCTTTCATCCCTCTGATGTTTTGGCCTTTTTAATGCGGCGCTCAGTAGGTGCAGAGAAGTGCACGCTGGCACATTGATACACCGCAACGGCTAAATTCACTAGTGATCTCCCAAAATGTTGTCATCTCCACTCTGTGCCATTTACCTCAAATATATGAATATCTAAACACGCTGTGAGAGAAAGTTTCGTTTTGCAGAAGGTTGAGGAAGGAGGAGTGCTCTGACATCTGGGGACGCATTTATCATTCTGTGCTGAAAAGGTGGAGGACACCTCGTGTTTGGAGGTGGGCACGGGCCTCCCCCCTTTCTAAATGCACCTCTCCAGCAACTGCAACATTCATGTCCGCCCGCATCCTTCATCAAGCAGAATTTATAAAGCGAGCGTTTTGAATATGCAGCTAAATATCTCGGCCGCAAACGTTTGTCGCCTGTTTTATTTTTCATTAAAAAAAAACTTTTTTTTAACACGCACACGCACGCACACACACACACGCACGCACGCACGCACACACACACACATGAGTGAAAGAGCTGCGAAAGCCAACTGTGTTAGATCATGTCATCGGGGACTCGACATATGTCCCCGTGGCTTCAGGTCTCGTCCTGTGCTGATGTGAGAGAGACAGAGAGAGAGAAAGCTGGTGGAAGCCGCTTGCATCCCTCCAGGGCGGCTGGTCCAAAACACACAGCACTGCCAAGGAGTTGATAGCAACAAATGCATGTGTGTGTGTGTGTGCAGCTTTAGACTATGGAGTGTGTGTTTCACATTACCTCCTGAGGCATCACCCATCTGCTCGGTGTAGCATTAAAGTGTGTGAGCAAAGTGTGAGTGTGGAAGCTCACCCTGCATTTGTGTGTGTGTGTGTGTGTGTGTGTGTGTGCACCCCCGTACACCCTGAACAAGCCATTCCTGCAGCCATTAATGCACATTTAAATGTACAAGCTGTCGTACCTCACGCACTATCAACTAGTGTGTTATCATAGAATGGCGATAATCCCCCGTGCTGCTTTTCACACCAGAGTTCATTGTCCTTCGTCGTCTTCGCCGCGGGCATCTTGCAGAGCGTCACCGCCCATCACATGATCGGATGGAGCCCACAGATTGTGATGCAAAACACAAGTGCGTGTTACATCAGACACAGTGACCGTAGAGCTGCTTTTTCGGGCTGCATTCGGGCTCCCAGAAGATGTTTTCCGTCTTAGAGGAGCACAGGGAGCTGTTTTCGTGTGCGTCTGCGTCCGAATCATTGAAAAATTGATGAGGGGGGTCGAAAAGGTGCCCGTGTGCACAGACTCCAGCTGTGACCTCAGTTGATCAGAATCGTTGCCGGCCATGAAATCGGTAGCTTCCCTTTGCTGCGAGGGGCGCTGGGGGGGTTCAACGCGGAGGGGACGTTTGTATCCGTGTAAAAGAATACAGATTTAATTTTTCTTCTGAAAACTCCAGATTAAGAGAGTTTCTGTTGCTGGGACAGGAGGGTCTGGTTTTGGGGTTAGCGAATCATTTGAGAAAATGATGTGTTTTTGCACCACAACTGAATCCTCTCCCAGCCGGAGGTCACCAAGGTCATTGTTCTACCAAGAGGAACAAACAGGAACGTTCAACTGCATGACCCTGGTTACGTGTGGATATTGTAGATGAACCCACAAATGACTCCCCGCCCTTTGCAAAGAGATTCAACTTTAAATTAATAGATAGAAATTTAGGGTAATACAGTTATTCAAGGTGTCCACTGAGACAGTTTGCTTGGACTAGCATGAAGACGCTGTTCTGGCTCTGAGGGAGGTAATTGAAAAAAAGAAATCAGCATATTTGTCGCGCTGAGTCAGTTGAGAAGATCGATGCCACGCTCATGTCTGAATGCTGAAGACGAAGCTGGTAAATCTGTTAGCTTCGGTTAGCACACGGACCGGTAACCGGGGGCAACAGCCAGCATTTCATATGGACTATGCTTTGGATCTATTGTCTTTAGTCAAAGTGGCATAAACCCTCTCCTGTAACTCACTGCATTAAGGCGAATCCCCCTCGGATACCTAAGATTCCTTTACATCAACGTGTGTATGAACTGTTTGGGGTGATGCAAAGACATTTTTTGTTTGCCTTCTAATCTTACACACAAACTAAGCCATGTTTGAACCGAATGTTCTCTCTCTGCACATTTAAAACAAAGCCTGCTTCATCATATAACAAACAAGAGATTCTTTATTGTCTATAAACTTCACAAAACTTGCAATATCTGTCACAAATATACTTGCAACAATGACGTTCTCTAATATTCTTTTCTACAGTATGATGTAATAAATTCTATTTAATGTCTTTTTTAAATAAGAACCAACACACACTGACTGTTAACCCTGTACCAGTTTCTTTCTTAGCCGATCTCTCTGTGTTATTGTTGTAAATGGTGTTTTCTGACAAATTGCTTTCTGGTGCTGTTGTTTGACTCTGTGTTTACAGTTAAGACTTCTCCAGAGTCATCTTTGTAACTGGACGAATCTGGAGACATCTGGTTCTAACTGAATAAAGGGGTTTTTGGCAGCTGTTTGTTAGCCGTTGTCACGGTGCTTTTCTCACCTCCCCGGAGTTCAAAGAATAATTCAATATTTTATTTCATAACACCTGACAATACAAAGGTATTTTTTGTTACTTTTATAATAATACTATGTATAAGTACATGTGTGAGTTACTTTGACTTGTATTTAAATGCTATACTTTTAGTTTTTACTCTCCAACATTTTGAATATTTATATTATATATACCTTCTTGAAAGCTGTAGTTACTGGTTATTGTTGCAACACATAAAACAGCCACTAGAGGTCGCGCCTTCCCACCGCGCGCTGGTAACCCGGAAATAGACATAAATAAACGCGTTTGCCTTTAAAGTCCATTTAAAAAACAAAAGAAGCATCACGTTCGGGGTGAAGTTTCTTTTAGCAGTACTGAAACTTACTTCTGCATAGTTCAACAACTATCCAGCACAAAGTGAGACGTCCGCTATGTGACTCGCGCTTTTACAGTAAAGGGCTCGGCTAACATGCTAACGTCATATGCTAAGGGTTCGAGACGCTAAGTTAACTACTGTAACGTTAGCTTCTACTGCACTGGTTCTACTGGGACGGAGGAGCGGGGAGGACTGGGTGGAGTGCAGGAGATGAACCGGCAGCAGATTGTGGAGGGCGTCGGTGTGTTATTCAGAGAGGTGAGTAACTACTAAAAAAAACTGACTTCTCTACAAGAGAAAGTCCGGAACTACTGCGTTGCCATCGCCGTGACGTTGACGCGGTCCTTTTCACGGTGTCTGGTGATGTTTTATTTAAAGTAAGTCTCGGGTTTTATAACTGTTGTAAAGATGTCCGAATATAATAGTTTTATCATATATTATAATGAATATGATTATGCATGGAGAGGGTGCAGCGGAAACCGTATTTTATTATATATATTTTTTATTTATTTATATGTACCAAAACAACTGAAGATAAAATAATGGTTGAAAATGAAAAAAGATAAATTGATCAAAGACAGAGACATGACTCATGATCCAATTCACAAATATGTGTTTAAATAAATATTTGGATTACAGCTCAAAAGCATTCAGTTGCTTTATTTCATTTTATTTTGGCAAATGCAGTTCATTGAAACAGTTGTAACAATGTTAAATGCAATCCGTCATGAATGAGCGTCATACTTGTCTTTACAAGTTAAAGTGACATTACAATGCAATTAACGATGCAATGAGAAAATAAAACTGCTCGTCTGGCACCACGGAGACACACTCAGGTTTTGTTGCAGAAGGGTCATCTCGAGGTTATAACTAAGTAAGAAGTTTAAAGAAAACCCTCTGATACAGGGTCCAGGTGTGGTCTGGATGGAGACAAATAAAAGTCAAGTGTAGCTTCTGTTGCCCTCCTGTGTTCACAGAAGGTACTGCAGTTCAACAAGGCTGTGTTTTGTATCCTTTTGTGAGTCAATTTAAATGCGTTTCCTGTGTTCGACACACTGGTGTGTTATACAAAAAAAAGGTAAAATCCACAGCAGTATGTCGCACTGGGGAAACCCCACCTTTCAGTCAAACAAACCAAGCCATTTCCAAACCAGCACACCGGTTAACTCGGAATAAGGTTCCAAATTGAGGACAGAATTGAGCATGTGTCCACGTTGAACCCTCCTGTCTGAGACAAAAAGTATTAACTTCTCTCAGTAAACCAGGTCATTGCGTACGTGAAGACATGAGGCATTGCACAACTACACATTGTGTCACGGTGGGTGGAAATGGTATGTATGTTAACACCAGAACCCCCCCCCCGCCGTGCCTGTATGCGGTGGTTCTTCCTGTGTGCTGATACACAGCCAGTGTGGCCAAGTGCAGCGCAGCAAAGTGGTGGAGCTGATTTCACCTGCATGTTTTGTTCCCCCTCGTCCACCAGCAGGTGAAGACTTGAACCAGCCCGAGCAGGACGAGTGTCGTCCATCGGAGTGTCTTCAAATTGACTCTGTACGCTTTGTTCAGTAGCTCTGTGCATGTTAGGCAACTATGGTGATCTTATACTGTAAATCCAGCAGTTCGATGTTGATCATGTTGTTCAATCCCTCCAGAAACTTGTCTGGACAGGACATTTGGGAGTGCCGAGCTCTCGCTCTAAGCTGGCCGAGGCCGCAGTAGGTAGAGCGGTGCGTTGAGCCGAGCGCTAACGTCAGCACGCTATCACGCTCGCAAAAACAATAGCATGCTGATGGTCAGCAGATGTGATGTTTACAATGTTCACCATCTCACTCCCGCAGGTCAGCATACTAATTGCTAAATGCTAATTAGCAAAACACAGCCGAGGCCGATGGGACGGTGTCATTCATTCTGCAGGTATTTAGCAATAAACCTCCTGAGAAGGCCGTGAATGTCTGGTCAAAGTTTTAGAGTTGTTAAGATTCTCCAGTCCGGGTCAAAGGACACACAGGGGGACACATTCATTGTAGACACACTCGTCCGTGGCTAAAAGAATGATGTCATACTCGTCCCCTGTTCTTTCACACTGTGATTATGTGCACAAGTAACGGCCTTGCCTCCCTTTTCAGATGGCTGACAGAAATGGGAGCGACGAGGTGTTCGCTCCCGGCAGAACCAATGAACACAAGTTTAAATATTGACTCTGGGAGAGAGATTTATTCCTCTCACCTCGGGTCAAGGCTGAGCCTTCACTGCTTGTTTGCTCTGCCGCCGTTCTGCTGATCTTGGCGGTTTTTCTGCAACTGTCTGAACGTGGAGATCAATTTCTGACGGACTCTTTAACAATGGGGGAGAATGGGCCTCGGTTTATTGTGTGGTTGAGAGGCACAGTGCTGTGGATTTAAGTATACACAGTGTTGTACCGACATTACACAAAATAAAGCCATCCGTTCATATTGTGAACACAGCGTCGTACTACTTTGTTATTTTAATTTTGAGACGCCTCGCGGTCACAAAGGAAACGGAAATCAAACTGGTGACCCACAGTAAACTAGTCAGGCCCCAAATGTAGGCCGACACAACAGGTGATATAAGAACTTTATGTATAAATCCGTGTCTATCATCACCATCATGTTAGTAATATTTCTTTACCTGTGCAAATTTCTACACTCCAACAAAAATATGAGACAGAAGTTTGATAAAAGATCCAGCAGCATGTTCGGCGTGTCGGACCAAAGCGGAGAGACAAGGAATGCGAGAGGAGGAAAAAGAAAAGCATACAGCAGGGAGGGATTCTCCCACAGCAGACTCAAGTATATACGATGGACACGTGTCCCCCCCCCCCTTCCTGCCCCTGTCCCATGCTTTCAGTTACCACCCGAGTCAACTAGTGAGCGCACGTGTTGAGCAGACAATTAGATCACTAGCTGTGGGGAGTCACTTGTTTCAAATAAAGGAAGACTGGCACATAAGCGTTTAGGGTGGGGAGGGAGGGAGGGAGGGGGGGGGGGGGTCACGAGGGCCTCAGTTGGTCGGCGTCTCCTGGGTGGCCGAGCCATCGGGCTGAGGGATCAAAGTGTCGCCGGTGGGGTCGTCGCTGTCCTCCTGTCCGGGGTCACCGGTGGACGGGGTCGGACTCATCTTGGTCTTAAGGGGGGGGGGGGGGGATACATCAATGGAATTAAAATATCACACAAAACATCCTATTAAAATAATTTTTAAATGAATTATTTAAAGTGAAACCTGTCTTATAACCCAATATTCCTGTTGCAAAATAATGCGCATGTCTGAGTTCCTGATCGCTTACCTTCAACGTCTCCACTTTCTCCTCAAATGACTTAAAGGTTTGAGCATTCCTGTGAAAGAAGGAGACATAAATAAATAACATCACAGACCAGCATTGTTCCGACACGCTTGGAAGTGGAGGTGCAGACAAGGAAGTGAGAGTAGGATACGACTGTATTTACAGAGGTTGTGTTTTGTTAGATGGCACACACACACACACACACACACACCGTGGGCTTTAATGTGATCCCCTTCTATTCTGTTCTACTGAGAAGGTGCAAAGAGTTTTTGCAGAATGAAGGAAAAGAGGAGCTAACTGTAAACATATTCCTCCTAACATAACATTTGTTTGGGATTCATACGACTTTAAGAAGACTTTCAACGACAAACCCCCCACACATGTGTGCTTGTGTTGTGTGATATCTGTGTTCGCTAAAGGTCAGAACACTTTAGGAAAATTAACGTTTAATGTTTTAAACAACAAACAAAATGTAAGCATTTAAGCGACTAAACAATTCATTATTTAAATTAATTTTTCAGTTGATAATTACCAGAAAATAAGTGCAGCTCTAATCTCACACATCCAGAGCTTTAACTCATCAAACTGACTGACTAGGTTAGGAACTGCTGGAGGGGCCGCGGCGGTTCTTATCCCTTAAAGCAGCACAGAACGCTGCACGTTCACGTGAAAGTGGGCGTCTCCAAACTGACAACTAACCGATGACGCTTCTGGCCTCAAAGATGCTCCTTTATCTCAAGGCTCTTTTTCCTCTTTTACCTCTTACAGCTCGAAAAATAAAACGGGGGGTCTGACCCGGCGAGATAATAAACGCTGCACCTCCACTGATATCTCCCAGTAGCGGTTAGCGGTGGTCCACTTCAAAAAAACCAAACACCTCCTTTGTCATAGTTTATTCAACACGTGCAGCTCGGAGGGAACCAGACCCACATCAACACAAACTTCCCCCTTACCTCATGGCAGGCATGCTAGCTGAGTGCTGCAATGAGCGTGTGCTGTCCGAAAGCATTACGGAGGAGAGAGGGGGGGGGGGTGTTAGTGTTCATCTTAGCACCGTGCAGGCAGTACAATGAAGAGAGAAAGACAGGCACACGTGCAAACACCACATGGAGAACAAACCTCTTATTCATTCTACTATATGTTCAAGCGATGAGTATTGTAAGCGCACAAATCCCATAAATCCTGCGTTATCCCATTAAGATGCATTGTGTATTACCACAGTGGGGGTGCACTAATCCTCTGTATTAGGGGAGGAGGGGGGGGTCTTATCATCAAACACATCTACCCCCCTCACACACACACACACACACACACACACACACACATCCCCTTTGACCCCTGTCAGGTCCGTCTTTACTACCCAACCCCCAGAGCAGCCGTGTGCTGAGGCTCCACTTGTCAGCACACGGCTGCTTTGAGGCCCTGATGAACCAGTGTGCAGGTCAGTAATCCAGAGAGAAGAAGGAGGATGAGAGCAGAGAGGAGCGATTCGGATCTCCACTGGAGGGGTCCTCTTGAGCTACATCTCAAATAGAGCAGTCTGTTGCAGGTTTTTAAAGCCATTTTTAAAAATTGAAAATGACAAATTGACCAACGTTTAACTCTAGCTACAATAATATTTCCCCTTTATGAATAAGGGGAAGACGGGAGAAACCACAGACTGTGGGATGTTATCCAATTTTCTCGTGGAACTATCACTTTGGGATCTCTATGGAATGAATCAGCAGGTCGTTTGCAGAAACGCAGGACGGTGTTTCTTAAAGATTCAGTGCCTCACAAAGTATCGTTCACGTTCATTCGGTCTCCCGTCCGACTCACCTGACATCCTCCAGCTTCCGGGTGATGGCCGAGCCCACGTTGGAGAACGCTGCTGTGGCCTTCAGACTTGCCTGAGACAATGTTTCAGACGTCCTCCTGTAGCTGAAAGACAGGATGGAGACATGGGGGTGATGAAAAGAGACTGAGACCTCAAAGACTCGAAGGCCTCGAGGTCGGAACGGATCCTCAAATGTCCCGTTTCCCCTTTTAGATAGCCTGCGGCATCACAATGCTGCTTGGTTCCCAAAATAAGAACCCATCAGCCCCACGCGTTACTGGTCGAGAACACGGACATCTTATTCCCTCGCTGTTCAGCGGAGAAGGTCAGCGAGCAGCTGATTTTGAGGTCAAATGAAGAAGAAGCTGCTAGAAAATGTATCTCACAAACTCTGTTCAACAAACAGAGGCTGGTTGAGATGGGGGGGCGGGGCACTCACGCGGTGGAGGTGGTGACCTCCTGCCAGGTTTTGGTGAAGTTCTGCTTCAGCTCGTTGAGGGGTGTGATGCCCAGCTTCCTCTTGATGTCCGCCAGCTGCTTCTCCTTGGCTGCCAGCACCTGTGACAGAGTCAGGATCTCGTCCTCAACCTACACACACACACACACACACACACACACACACACAGTGGAACATCTGTTAAATACACATGTTACTGTTAACCACGTCCGGTCTGGTTACATGTTGGTGCAACTACAGGTCGATTAAAGAGCTTAAAACAGAGTAAAGTTGGAGTAGAATGTAATCTTTCTATCCAAACTTGGCTACGAGGGCAACAAGGGGCCTACAGAGGAGCATCTTGTTGCTCTGCCAAGCTGCTGTGTGCCAGACTCAAAATGTGGCCATCAAAGTGTTTTATATTGTACCATTTTTAAACTCTCAACCCGTATCGATTATTTGTAGTATGGCATCAAACACCTATTCTGACCCGTTTAATCCCTCCCACCGACCTTGACCAACTTTTCTTGAAGCTCCTGCTGCTCCTCCTGCGTCATGGCGGGTGGTGCGGGGGAGGGTCCCACGGACGTCGCAGCATCTTCTCCCACCTCTGGGATCGAGTCCGGATGCTGCTGGAAATCTGGGAGGCAAAATTGAAAAATGTATGAAAGCCATCGGTAGTTTAGTGATGGGTGTTAGCCAAGAGGGAAACACCTTCATTCCCACTGTACCTTTACACAACGCACCTTCTTCCTCTCACACACACACACACAGTAGGAGCACCAGTGCATCAATAATACAGAGAACTTTGTAGATGGAGACATCCAAGAATAGATCTGAAAGAGCATTTCATTAAAATATTACTGCAAATACAATTTGTGTTATTATCACTTCTGAAGCTGTTGTCGTACTAGTAAGATAATTTGTGTTGGGGTTGTACATTGCCTTTTGCAAAATGACACAAGGAAGCTGAACAATATTAACTTTTGCATTCATCTGGTTGTTGTTGGGCATTTTATTCAGATTACACAACGGCTTGTGGATTTGACACAGAAAGGTTCAACATTAGGAATCAGGGTGTGCTTATTTACTTTCCACCCGAGAGTTAGATAAGACACGAACAACTCTCAACTTTCTCTCTCTAAAATATTATGCATTGCTTATTACCTATTTTATAATATATTAGCTTAACTTAAAAGCCTCTGCATCCATTGTGACTTGGGCACCCTCTCTCCTTCATGTCACAACACAAAACAAATGAGACGGGATATTCTTTGAGGACAAATACGAAAATCATAAAGCATCAATATATAATCACATAAAGAAAACAGCTGTATTCTGATCACAACTGTGTGGAGGACTGTGCACAACAATATTTAAAGTGTTTTTGGATACATCTCAATCCAAAACATCTATACATGTCAAGCTTGAGACCTGTAAATCTTTTTACGGATGAAATACCAGCAGGCTTCACAGAAATGGAGTGAGTGGAAATAGTATTTGGAGACCACCCCCACTCCTCTGAAGAGTCCATGTGCCCTCAGGCTCTTTACCGCATCACACACAATGTACACGCACACACACACACACACACACACACACACACGTGCATGTTGGGTTGGAGGTAGCTGAGCAGCGGATGGATGCTTTATGGGAGAGTTTCCATCAGTAGGTGATGTGAGTAAGACTAAAAACCACCAGACTCAGAGAGGGAGAGAAGTTCTGAATGCGCGCGCACACACGCACACACACGCACACACACACACCACTGCCCACAATTAAATGGTGATATAATTAGAAAAGCATGCCTGACTTGCTGAGGGAACTGAATAATCTCTTGGTGATTATGGGTTCGAGGCAAAGCTCTACACTCATGCAGTGAACTAATGTAGGACAGTCATCATAATAGTTAATAGTTATTGGGACTGAGCTGCTCTTCATTTCTTTCAAAAGCAGCAAGTAACATGGAATCAATAAATTACTTTCTTGATTCTGGAAGCTACTCCCAAAAAAAATTAAGATGATAAATACTTAACTGGCAAAATAAAATATGACAAGAAAGAGAAATTGGTGAAGTTAGTGATTTGGTTTCCTCCATACAAGAAAGAATAACAGCTTTTTCCCTGATGCTTTGTCCTAAAAAAAAACTAATGTGAAAGCAAGATAGATTTAAAAAAAACATCTGGCACCAGAGCTGTGCATCAAATATTCAGAGCCAGAGCTAAATACATTCTCATTTAGAAATAAATCTAAAAGGTAATTGTAGCCTTTCTGTTCAAGTTCTCAAGACAAAATGTAGCTCAACTAAAAAGTGGCTAAAGATGCTCCTCAGAAACACAAACAGATTTGTCGCCCCCAATTCCTCCCACCCAGTGAACCGAAGCCCCGTTTCCCTTCCGTCCAGCCCACCCACCCCCACCCACACACGCACACGCACACCCGCGCGCGCGCGCACACACACACACACACACACACACACACACACACACACACACACACACACACACACACACACACACACACACACACACACACACACACACACACACACACACAGCCCGGTCTCTCCCCGTCCACCTTGAGATTACCTCTGGTCCGGACTGCGGGCGAGCTGGGCGGCGTGTCGCTGCAGGCCGGGGAGAGGTACAGGTAGCTGGAGTTGACTCCTTGTTCAAAGTCAAACGGAGAGTGGTACTCCTCCAGAGACTCCATGTTTACAGCTTGGAGTGTGTTTGTTGGCCGGAGGGACTAGCACCTCCCTACCAACACCACCACCACCTCCTCCTCCTCCACCTAAGCAAAGCCTGCAGAGGGCTGATTGTCTGCATGTGATCCGGGTGCGTGCTGACTGTGTGTGTGTGTGTCCTTGTTTACAGCATCCTGGACTCTGTGGTGGTAGTGTGTGTGTGAGTGTGTGTGGGAGGTTTTGTATTGGCTTTCAGATGGTCAGAGGGAGAGCACAGCGAAGCCGGATTTCAGTTTTTCCTCCTGCAGCCGACCGAGGCGTCGTGAACCCTCAGCTCCTTCCCTGCTGTTAATAAGTTACCTGTCCCTTCAAGCTGTTGTATCACACACACGCACATACACACACAGACACACCCTCTTCCTCTACAGCATAATCCCAAAGGTCAATTCTCAATCCATTTGCGCAATCAGTGGCGTTTCCGGATGCCAGCCCCCGTCGGCGGAGCGCGTTGTGCAGTGACTCTGCGTGACACAATACTATCAGGGTCTCTCTGTCCATTCCCTCCCTCACTCTCCATCATCCAGCCCGTCCGCCAAGGTGGAAATAAAAAGAGGTCCCATTAGTGTCGGCTGGTCACGTGAAGCGCGTGCGTGTGTGCGTGTGTGCGTGCGTGCGCGTGGTAGTGGGGGGCATTAGATGAAAAGCATAATCCGCAGTGTCCCAGATTACAGCGAAGCGCTAATCCAGGGTGGCCGCTCCAGTTCCACGCAGCAGTAATGCCAGTGAGCGCGAATGGAGGGGAGAGGCCGCCAGGGGCTGCACTTTGCGTTGTGTGTGTACTTAAGGAAAAGTGCTCTCTGCGGGGTGGAGAGAGCTGCTACAACAAACGACTGTTTTCCTCCTTGGATCAGACTCTCACTTAACTCCATAATTGGTACATAAAATGTCATCAATTTCTCGGAAAATCCAGATATCTAAATATGTAAAAAATAAAGTTCTGTATCTCTTTAAAAAAGGAAAATGTAAGTATGTTGACTTCATAAAGGAATGTCTTAACTGTTTTTGCAAATGAACAAACTATTATTTGAAAACATAATGTAAAATTTACGATGGATACTTTAACAGTGCGCTGCATTAGTTCTACTTTGCCGCCCTTCTGATTAGAGCCAATAAACGTATTCGTGAGCAACACTGTATTCATGTGACCGTCTGTTAAAAAAATGTCAGATACACGATCAACATGATCAACAAGAATTCCATCAAAGTTCATGGCATTAAAAACAAGCCACGGCAGGCGGACTGTAACCATTCTCAAGTGGTTAATGAAGCACCGCATGAGATCCATTACCTTGCTATCCGATCACATGATTAGCCTAAAACCAGAATCATGAGACATAGACGGTCAGCGATCCGACGAGGGGCCCCGGCCCACGATGTTCACATGACGGCCGCATCATGGGAAAACAGTGGGAGGGGCGTGACCAAGTCAGAGGGGAACCAGAGACCAATGGATGGTGGCTTTGACACAGAGGCCGCCATGGAACTTCACATTTACACACATTCCTCAGAGGGTCGAATCGAACTGAGTAAGGTTCACTCTTCAAAAACATGGTTTGACAGAAGAATATATTATATAAACTATGTCATAGCAAGCCAAGGACTGCAGAACTGTATGTGGAGACATATTCAAAAGGTGTCTTCGGAGTTCATCCATGTCTAGTGCATCACCGAGAAATTAATGATTCGGATAATGAAACGGAGACTAAATGGCAAATTAAATGGTTTAGTTATTTGGGGTTGATAACTAACAGAGTTACTATGCTCAATTTGACAGTGAAGTTTCTCTCTATTGAACCATGTTGGAAGACTCTACATCTGTGGCCAGAGGAACCAGACAGGTGAGTTCTCTGCTTGACCAAACACCTTGTTGAAAGATTCTCCATCAAGTGAAATGAGGGAAGGAATGAAATGGCCACTACATCATTTAAGATGTCAACTTATACGGTTTCTTCTTTGTGAACAAAAATGGAATTTGAAACATTTTTTGAAACAAACAAACAACCAGTACCTCCTTCATTAAACATTTAACACCAGAGATAGCTGGTGAGTTTTATTTGACATGAACAAAAAATGAAATATGTTCATAGTTGTAAGTAGTTGCTGTCCTTTACAGTGCAACATAAACTAATTATCTTTCATGGTAAGTTTGATTCCTTTTTAACTTTTGAGTTGGTAGCAAACCTCGCAGCTATGGTATATATATTTAATCATGTAAAAGATCCAAAGCGGGATTTAGGACGGTTGAATCGGACTTTAAAAATGGGGCTGGATGATTAATTCATTTCTAATACAAACAACCAGTCTGCTGAACACGAGGCCGTCTGTGACTGACCTCCTCTGACTGTTCACACAGCTGAAAGCATCCAGTTGTGCTCACTGGAATCTAATAAGACAAAAATGTGAGACTAGTCATGATCAATCTTATTAGACAACTGAGTTTGAAAAACAAGATTGATTAAGAAGCCGACTTCCTCATTTCGGAACATCTGATCGAGACGAGACCCCGAGCCTCCATCGAGTACGGAGGAAGTACCAGAAACACGCTGAATCCAGAAAAACGTGAAGCACTTTCTTCTGAAGCTAAAAAACCAGTGTGATAAGTAGACTCCTGGACGGAGGTATTAGGCAGAATTTTAAAGAAAATTCCCCCCCAAAAAAAGGGATTCAATTCTTCAGAAAAAATGAATAAAGCTTGAGCTGAAGTAACTACTGGAAAATCCATTAGACCGCAGGGGGGGGACACAAAGAAAGAGATGGGTTTTTTTTTTTTTATCACAGAGGTCATCTACTTAAAACCTAAACCTAATCAGAGGAGAGCACACTCCTCTCCCCTGAAAGCTGCTTTGCTGAGAACCAAATATGCTCACTGCCCCCCAAACACCCCCCACCCTGCCTTTTAAAACCTGCTAACCCAGCTCACCCAGTGGATGGTGATTCTCCACCTGAAACACTAATCGTGGGAGGACACCTACACGCCGTGTGGACTGATCAAACAAAAGCAGGTTTAAAGAGGTGTGGTATTCAATCATTATGCTTGGTAAGTTTATCCATTCTCCATTAGAGCAAGTTTACCACCGCGCGCACACACACACACACACACACACACACACACACACACACACACAATTAGGGAACATGGACACAGTTATAGGAACTTGATCATTGCAGCAGTTGGTGCAGGGATGGCAGAGGGCACTGAGCTCTTACTGCAGCGTAACTTTTCAAAGATAAAAAAAAGAAGAAGTATCCACAGCTAGAACCAGGCATCCGGTCCGAGGGGGACGATGGGAGGGGTCTTGTGCTATGTTAGTCCTATGTGTGATGGTCGTGTCAATAAGAGAGGTTGGGATCAAGGACACACGTGACTGAGACGTTGGTAACGGAGCAGGCCGAGATCCAACAACAGTGCAGAGAGAAAAAAAACACATTTTCGGAGCGTGCCAAGATTCCCCCTCCGACCTCCTGACTCCTCCCCATAGAGTGCTGCCTGAACGCGTAGCAATACAATGAAGTTCACGGTTGTCATTACTGTGAGATTATAAAGAAAACAGAACTCAACAGTTCCTATTGTTCATATTTGAGGAACCAAAAAATTACGAAATGTTACTTCTGCTACATAAGTTCACAATTCATCAGCGTTTCCAAGGACATAAAAAGCAACTTAGATACTTGAACTGCCTGAACTGCTGGTGTGTCGGTTGCACCCACGTGGTGGAAATCATGGCGTGTAAGAGAAAACTTGGAAGGTACATGCAAAGCACGGGAAAATACCAAAGAGGAAGCCGGGTCACGAGCCCAGCAGACAGACAAGCAGCCCGTCACTAACAGCAACAGGGATATTCTGCTTAAAAGTACATTGAGATAACAAAAAGACTGACAGGGCCGTCAGACCGTCTGACTAACAGACCTTTTTCAGTCTGATGTCAGAGAGCGTCACGTGACCCACCGGGAACAAGTCACATCTGTCAATATAGAAAATATGCAGAGCTTTTCATTACTAAATACATTACTTTTCATTTCAGGGAAATGAAATAAGTACAACGAGCAGACATCAGGAAATGTAATTTCTGGTGGGAGAATGTCTGAAGGGAATCGGGGTCGGGGCCGAGCCTTGTTTACCTGGCATCCCCTCGAGGTGAACAGATAAACTCTGGCCACTTTCCTCTTTGCAAAAATAACAACAATATCCAGTTTTTTTTCAAATTACAAGAAAAGACTGTTTTTTTTAATTAACTTTGTTGTTTAAAATGTCTAATTTTCTTTAAAAATTGAAAAAAAACTTTAAAAAAAAAATGGAGCCTGGCTGCCATGAAGGGAACCAAAATACCCAGACAGCTGGACAGGGGAAGGAAGGTGTAACACGTTACACAGACTGACAGGAATTAACTATGTTTACACTGCAGAAAGTGCAATAGGAACATTTATAGTCAACGTGTCGTGCCGAGCGGTCCAACGGGTGGAACCGGCTTGTAAAGTTTAAATTCTGAAATACAAGGACCCAAATCTTCTTCCAATCCCAATTCGACTTCGTCAAAGCGTTTGGGGGGAAAAGGAAAGGATTTCTTTCTTAATTGTGGTTTCCTTCAAAGGAAATGACAACTTCCCTGTTTATATTGTCTGATTGCACGCCGTGTCTCAATTTCTACTTCCGTGATATTTTTGAGAAGACATGGACACGATATTGGTGTTTGTAAAACAGTCACCCAGTCCCAACGTTGTTGTCGCGAAATGAAAGCTTTATTTGAGTTTCCTAACTAGCATATGTTCTCAACGGAGCAACTTCACTGCGCACGTTCGCTCGTCTACCCGCTGCCATGTGACGCAAAACGACCTCCCGGTAACAACACGTCCCACGTCACGGAGACATTTCAGCAAATAAATTACCTTTCTCTGCATCCTCCATTATACGACTGAGCGTTGATTCTGGAAGTTTGTATATCCAGAGTCTGCAAGTTGTTCTTGTTGGCCGCTGCAGATCTTCCTGCTCTCTCTCTCTCTCTCTCTCTCTCTCTCTTGGGCGCGCGCTCTCTCTCTCGCGCTATCGCCGTGCGGGGTGGGATTCGATATGACGTCAGCACGCAGCAGTGTAAACAGAGGCGAGCACGTGGATCTGGTGTTACGCCGTCAACAAGGCAGAGCTGCATGGCGACGACACGTCAGTGTTGGACGGATCGAGGGTGACGTTGTTCTGCACAACACAAACTAAACACGTTTAGTATATATATATATATATATATATATATATATATATATATATATATATATATATATATATATATATATATATATATATATATATATATATCCCCAAGCATCGAATTGTGACTTTCACTAAAATGTATCCAATAATTTCAACACATTTCTAAAAAAAAATAATAAAAAAAAAATTCGAAAATTGGAAATTTGTTGAAATTATTGGATACATTTGAGTCAAAGTCACAGTTCGATGCCGTTATCCAAATCTGTCAAATTTTTTTATGTTGTTCATCAACTTGAAATACATATTTGAGGTAATTCATACCAAAATTCAATATCAAATTGTATTACAGCACA